GCACCCACGCACACGTGCCCAGTGTGAGTTGAAGCCACCGAGTCCAGGACTCGAACCGCGGTCGACTACGTGGGAGTCCAGCAACATAGCCATTACAGCTAACTGCTGGGCCCACCCTATCCTTTGATTTTCATGAGTCTGGGTGGTGTGGGGGAGACGAGCCCATCTGAGCCCCTAACCTTTCCCGTTCTCCCACCTTCCCCCAGGCCTACATCCTGTTGGGTCAGTTCCTCCTGATGCACAAGAACGAAGCCGAGTTTCAGAACTGGCTCATCTGCTGCTGCGGCGCCACGGAGTGCGAGGCCCGGCAGACCTCCAACTGTCTCAAGGAGTGGTGCGCCTGCTTCCTGTAGACCCATGGTACCCCTGTAAACGCCCGCTCCGCCACCACCGGCTCCGAGTCATTATTCGTGTTTTTAACTTTAACAGTACACTTGCGTTAGAGAAAGTTGCTCAAGATTATAAACAAGGAGGGGGCTGGATGGTGGCCCAGCAGTGACGCAGAGCTCTGCAAGGTGGAGCCCTAGGGGGGCATCCTCCCCGAACGTGGGGTCCGTTCTGGTGGTGTGAAGACGCTTTTAACTCATAAAAGAAATAAAGACATTTTAAATATCTATATCTAGCTATCAAATCTCTCTCTTTTTACAAGAACAAAGTTACCCCCAAACCCACCCCTTAGAAACCATCACTCACCTTAGATGAATAGCCTACGAAATACCTCCGAGCAAAAGTTCATATGAAGAATGGGTCATTTTATTTTCAAACAAATAAATTTTTAGGTCCCTGCATTAACCACATTGCCACATAACCAATTATCCCAATACGAAGCTGCTTACAACAATAATGTCATCTCACATAGCTCTTTATTATTATTTTTAAAGTAATCATGTTTATTTCTTTTTTATTAATTTGTTTATCTTACATACTTTCACTGAACATCACCACAACATATGAAATGTGATTTTCTAGGGACCAGTAGTTAGCGTAATGGCTATGTCGCTGGACTCCCACGTAGTCGACCGCGGTTCGCGTCCAGGACCTGATGGCTTAAAACTCACACTGGGCGCGTGTGCGTGCGTGCCCCAAGATCCCAAGAGGAGAATGGAGGAGAAGGGATTGTGGTGTGGCCATTCTCCCTGGGGGGTGATTTCTTGCTTTCTCTCTGTCTCTCTGTTTCTCTGTCTGTCTGGCGAGCGCATGTGCCCTATAGCAAAAACTCCTTTCCCCCCAAAAAAGTGATTTTCTAGCCAGAATACACTGTAAAGTGGCTTAATCATACATGTTATTGTCATCAAATAATTTTCCATTTCTTTTTTCATGTATATATATTTTCCCCCTATTTCTCACCCCCTGCCATTTCCCATTTTCCTCCCACCTTGTCTCTGGTATCTGCAGTTGCTTTCCATTCCTTCATTCTTTCCCACATTGTATTGATTCACAAAATATCTTAATTAATCTAAATACTTTCAATAGTAAGTATATACATATCTGGGAACAAAAGTTGACTTTAGGCATGAAACTCTGTGGGTAGAATGAATATACTATAAAATAGCACATAGTTGAGGCTATATAGCTTACTGTGGTTACTAAATGGGTATTTTTTAAATACATTTTTAATTTTGAGAAAGGCACCTTTAGATTTAATAAATCAAAATTTAAAAAAATGTTAAGAGAACTTTGCTTAATACCTAAAGTCAGGAAACAGGTTAGAATTCTGTTTGAATAGTGGGTACATGGACCTGTCCACAACTTGAGAGAAGACAAAACTCCTTAACTCTGGAAAACAAAGCATAGAAGGTCAATAATATTTTTATTATTTTTTAAGAGAGATTTTTTGTATAAGACATGTGCACTCACCGGAAAGATAGAGACAGAGAGACAGAAAGTGAGAAATCACCCCCCAGGGGGATGGTCACGCTGCAATCCCTTCTCCTCCATTCTCCTCTTGGGATCTTGGGCATGCAAGCACACATGCCCAGGGTGAGTTTAAGCTGCTGGGTAGAGGACTTGAACCAAGGTCAACTACATGGGAGTCCAGCAACATAGCCATTACACTAACTGCTGGTCCCTCCTCCATTTTTCTCTAGGGATCTTGGGCATGCGCACACGCTCTTTGTGTGAGTTTAAGCTGCTGGGTAGAGGACTTGAACCAAGGTCAACTACATGGGAGTCCAGCAACATAGCCATTACACTAACTGCTGGTCCCTCCTCCATTTTTCTCTAGGGATCTTGGGCATGCGCACACGCTCTTTGTGTGAGTTTAAGCTGCTGGGTAGAGGACTTGAACCAAGGTCAACTACATGGGAGTCCAGCAACATAACCATTATGCCATCTGCTGGTCCCTCATCTCACATAGCTTCCGAGGATCAGGAATGTGCAGGTTGCTTAGCTGGCTGATGGGTCTCAGGTCTCTCATGAGATTGCAAATCAGTTCCCTTCCCGGTTTGGGTGGAAGGCTTCTGTTCCTCACCGCCAGCACATTCCATGGGGCTGTCCCTAGCATGACACCAGGTTGCTCCCACAGCTGGTGATCTAAGAACGGATGGGAGAGCAGTCAGAAAGCCGCAGTGCCTTTTATAACCTCATCTGATTCATGCCATGTCAATTTTAAATCATCGCATTCAGTTTTTTGAGGCATAATTTATATACAGTAAATCCACCTATTCCGGGTGTGCAATTCTATGAATTTTGACAGAAGCTCCCATACAATCAAGATGTAGGACACTTTCATCACCCCAAAGATTTCCCTACTTCCTTTCTGGGGTCATCCTTTCCCCTTTCCACTGGCAAACCATGGATCTGTTTGCTGTCCTTACCATTTTGATTTTCTCAGAAAACCATGTAAAATGGAATCACACAGCAGATAGCCTTTTGAGTTGACTTCTTTCACTTAGCAAAAACTCCGTTTGAGAGTACTCTATTGTGCAGGCGTTTTTAAGCTCTAGAAAGTTTCACCTGATGTTGTTGGAGCCTGTTCATGTTCACTGTTCTACCAGAGTCCAGTGACTTCCCTGAGCGAGCACCGGAATATGCCCTGCCTGAGGGTCTCCAGCTGCAGGAGTGAGATCAGCCCAACATGGAGCTGGGGAAAGTGCCAGGAAGTGAGTGCCCATGATGGTGGGAAGACGACGGACCAACGCCCCAGCTTCCTTGCCCTTCAGGTAGGAAAACTCTGAGACAGTCTGATGGCGCTGCCTGGTGGGGTTGAACCTTGTTGCCCACAGGGATCACCAGCCCTTTACCAACCCCTGTGGTCCCTTCCTTCCCTGCCATGTTACCCCCTCCATTACCTGAGTAATGAGTTTATCTCCACTTTAGAAGACATTCACATTTTAGTCTCAGGATCTGCTTCCAGGAGAACCCGAGCAAGATAAAATGGTTGTAATTTACTTTTATAGCAAAAAAAGAATTAAAAAGTGAAAGAATTATTGAACTCTGCTGAATTTTTTCTTCAATACTAGATCAAATGATACATTTCTAAATAAATATCTTGAGTTTAAGAAAAATATGAGAGAAAACAGTAAGAGGTTAGTGTTATTAAGCAGTTTATTTTCAGTTTGTTTACTCAGTGACAAATGGTATCAACTCCTGCTATATAAATATAAGGAAAGGATGGGGCCAGATGGCAGTGCAGTGGTGAAATGTGACCTTCGGTGAGGCCAGCCCACATGGGAAGGTTCTGCATTTGTGTCCAGAGACCATATTCTTTCCACAAGTGCAATTTCCACAATTGTTTAATCCAAGTTATGTATTTAAGAGCCTATTATCAATCCTCATTAGTATAATTACTTTTATTTAATTTTTTAGTTTTTGCTATAGGGTGTGTGCGCTCGCTGGAGAAAATGAGAGAAGGAAAAGCAAGAATCACACACCCCTGGGGAAGAATGGCCATGCCACAATCCTTTCCCTTCCATTATCCTCTCAGGATTTGAGGCATGTGCCTGGTGTGTTTTTCAAGCTGCCAGGTCTGATGCTCAAACCACAAAGTTGGCCATGTGGAATCTAGTTGCCTTTACCAAACCGCCATACCACTAGTTGGCTCATTAATATCATTATGTTAAAGACCTAGCTTTGTTTTGTTTTGATTGAGTTGCGTTATCACAGTCAGAGTAGACCAGATTATACTGCTATAACAAGTAACTCCCCAAACCTCAGTGATTTAACCAACAAAGGTTGACTTCTCCCTTGTGAGACACATCCAGTACATATCATCAGGAGATCTATGTTTTAGAGTCTTAGGTTGATGGAGAGTCCCTTTTAGTATACACTTCCTTGATTACCATGGCAGTAGGAAGAAACTGTGATAAATCACACACGATCTTTCAAAGCCTCTGCCCAGAAGTGACACCTTCTACTTACATTCATATAACATTGGCCAAAGCAAGTCCCATTGGCCACACCTAACTCCAAAGGGGCAAGGATTCTTCTGAATTCCGAAGTCGCGACCAATTTCACTATTATTATTGTTTCCCAGAATGCTTCACAGGTGTTATATTTCCTAAATTCATAATATGATTGGAATGTTTTACTGGCATCTGCTTAGCCCTTGCTAGGTCAGCTTCTCTTGCTCTCCCCAAGGAGAAATCAAAGACTCAAGAATTCCAGGTGAACCAACTGGTTGAACCAAAGATCTAAATTGTTCTAACTCCTGAGAGCTCAAATTCTGACTGTCCAGAGACTATCCCTTGCTGCTTCTTGCATGGCACACTCTTGGACTTATTTTCCACCAAAACAGTCATGGTATTTAGAGGTTACTCGTTTTCTAATACAGGAACTGGCTGGTTTCAGGGAAAGTAAAAAGGAAAAGAAAGGAAGGAAAGGAAAGGAAAGGAAAGGAAAGGAAAGGAAAGGAAGGAAGGAAAGGAAAGGAAGCAGCTTTGCCTCTCAATTTCCACACACCTCCAACATTACTTGGAATTTATTCCCTTAGACAGATTATCTAGGATCATAGGAGGGTTAGGGAACTGAGGAACCGGAAGTAGGTGGGGTCCCCCAAACTAAGAAGATACTGAAGACAAGAGTGGCTATCCTCTATGAAGTGTTCTTGGAAGGACACTAGAGGTGACCCCTGTTCCCAAAAAGCTTCACCAGAGACACTGGGCATTCCTCCCACCACTCATCCATTCTATTATATTGATGTTCATCTTCCTGGTGGATACCGTTATCAGTTCTCCTGTGTTTCCCACCTTTGCCGTGTGACTTGGTGGTTCCTCTCTTCAGAGGCAGAAAGTAATTTCCAGCCGCTTGACTTAGACTCGGCCATGTGACTTTCTTTGACCAATGGTATGAGACCACAAGGATATCACACTTGCCCTTTTGGGTCTCTGCCAACATCAAAAGAGGAGCGACTCCTAGAGATAACTGTTGCCCCTTGCTGAGCCTTGGTTTCCTTATCTATAAAATGGGCACAAGAAATTAATAACTCTGCTCCTCAGGGCAGATCAAGGAAACAGCTTCTATAAGTGCTGAGGTAGGAGCAGGATAATTATGAGTTTCTCTGGCTTCTACACTTACATCATTTTTTTTTAAGAATTATTTTATTTAAATTTGACCAGAGAGGGACAGAATAACAGACAGACAGAGAGAGATGGAGAGA